ATAGCTTGTCGAGTTAACCGTTGGTTCATTGGCTGATCAAATGATAGCTTGACATGCTAACCGTTGGTTCATTGGCTGATCAAATAAAAGCTTGACATATTAAAGGCTTGTTCATTTTCTGATCAAATGAAAGCTTGACATGTTAACCATTGGTTCATTGGCTGATCAAATGAAAGCTTGACATGTTAACCATTGGTTCATTGGCTGATCAAATGATAGCTTGACATGTTAACCATTGGTTCATTGGCTGATCAAATGAAAGCTTGACATGTTAACCATTGGTTCATTGGCTGATCAAATAAAAGCTTGACATATTAAAGGCTTGTTCATTTTCTGATCAAATGATAGCTTGACATGTTAACCATTGGTTCATTGGCTGATCAAATGATAGCTTGACATGTTAGCCGTTGGTTCATTGGCTGATCAAATGATAGCTTGACATGTTAACCATTGGTTCATTGGCTGATCAAATGATAGCTTGACATGTTAACCATTGGTTCATTGGCTGATCAAATGATAGCTTGACATGTTAGCCGTTGGTTCATTGGCTGATCGAATGAAAGCTTGACATGTTAACCGTTGGTTTATTGGCTGATCAAATGAAAGCTTGACATGTTAACCATTGGTTCATTGGCTGATCAAATGATAGCTTGACATGGTAACCGTTGGTTTCTTGGCCGTTGGGTGCTAGTTCGGTAGCTGGTCGAGAGGAAAGTATTTACCCTGACCTCGCTTCGATAAATTCAAGCCTTTTCCCGGATGAAAGGCTGTGAGTGTGAATGCTCTTGGGTTGAGACAGACTGAGAGTCAGTGCACGTTTTTGAGATCAACTAAGTGTGAGTGTTAGGCACTGAGACCAACTAAATGTCAATGTGTGGGTTTTAAACCTAGAACGAGCTGTCAGTGCTAGACGAGCTGTCAGTGCACGGTACTAGAACGAGCTGTCAGTGCTAGAACGAGCAGTCAGTGAACGGTGCTAGAACGAGCAGTCAGTGAACGGTGCTAGAACGAGCTGTCAGTGCTAGAACGAGCAGTCAGTGAACGGTGCTAGGACGAGCTGTCAGTGAACGGTGCTAGAACGAGCTGTCAGTGAACGGTGCTAGAACGAGCTGTCAGTGCTAGAACGAGCTGTCAGTGAACGGTGCTAGAACGAGCAGTCAGTGAACGGTGCTAGAACGAGCAGTCAGTGAACGGTGCTAGAACGAGCTGTCAGTGCACGGTGCTAGGACGAGCTGTCAGTGAACTTTCTGTATTTACCATCTCTGCGGTGTAAACAGAAAAGAGGAGCGCGGGGTATTTGAGCCTGAATATGTAGGGCCGCAGGGCTAATGCTGTCGCCACAAACTGTGCAGGTCTAGATTTTTTTTGTCCCGACAGAATAAAGTTCCACAAACTTACCGATTTTTGAACCCTAGTCACCTGCATAAGAGTACTGTATTCTTAATCATTCTAACGACAAAATCAAAAACCCTTGTCAAGTGAGCTGTATATAAAACTTGCGAATGATTTCTGTCAGCATCTTGTGTAGCTATCGGACGACTGTAGGGGATGATAATGAATGGCGATCTAGCACGTAGATAACCGCTTAGCGGCTACGCGTTCAACAGCCCACAAGAGTTTTTTCCTATGACATTGTGACAAACGAGTCAACACTCCAGGATTCACTGACCAGAGGGTGAGCGGTGGACCGGACAAAAAGGTCAGGGAAAGTATTTTTGGGAATTTCCCTGACAGACTCAGACAAGATGAGTTGTGTTGTATTTTGATCCTTAGATTCTCTGTAATTGATTTAAGTTAGCGACGGTTGGTTTATAAAAACGTGTTAGCATGACGGTATTATAATTTAAGAGTTAGGCAGCATAACGTCTATGTTATAGAGATATAGACCATTGTTTGGTTATAGTTTTCACTCAGGTGCTTATCTGTGTACTAGCGAGGTGGCTCAGAAAGGGCTTTTGTCAGTTTGAAAAGATTATGATGTTGCTGTGGGCACTGTTTGCAGGCGACTCAGCGAAGTGGCATGGATTGTCCACTCACACCTAATAGAGCAGTGCAGTCGCGCACCGGTTGGGGTGTAGCTTGGAGGTGCCCGGGAAAGAACATCGATCGTAGGCTGTTGGTTCAGAACCGGTTAATCCCTGGAACAACTGGATGCCCAGTGTGTGAGCTACGATTTTAAAGCACTCTGGTCTGTTGAGATGGGGTTGTAAGTCGAAGCACCTCTAGAGCTAACTGCCCACTGTTTTCTGTAACTACATTAGAGGTAGATGACGGTGCTAAGTTGGTCTGTGTTTAGAATATATATTATCGCCATAGAGACACCAACAAGCCGTTGCCATTAGGGTGTTTAACAGGTTAATGACAAGTTCGGACTGTAATAAACTTTTCAAGGGATATATAAACAAAGAAAAACACACTGGGAGGTGACAAGTTAGGAAACTGACAGAACAGAAGTGCAGATATGAAAGAAGAACCTCTAGAAGTGTTATATGTTGTGCATCTAGTCCTACAAATAAACGCAAAAGAAGGCGGTGGTCATATGTTCCCTTGATGATTTATACCCGTAGGATTAAAATCTTAAGAATGAGAATCACACAGGAGAAAATTTGAGAGCCCTTATTCAACTTATAACACAGTTATATCGACAACACTCCATTTAGAAAGAACCATGCCGTCCAGTGTAAGGTTAGACAAAGGTACAGAATTTATCAGTGTTTCCTTTTTTCCTTGATCACCCAGCGAAGATTGCCTGTACCTGAATCTCTGGATTCCATCAACAACGACAACCAAACCCATCCTAGTGTGGATCTACGGCGGTGGATTCTGGGCTGGAACCTCGACCCTCAGCGTGTACAACGCCCTAAGGTTGGCCAGTAGAAGCGATTTAATCGTGGCCTCGTTTAATTACAGGTAACTTTGTTTGCATGTTAATTCTCTGTTGTCCATCTTAAAAGTCACTGGGGCATAACGTTTATGATTTGTTTCGCTCCTACTGTCATCATGTTCAAACAAAGGGTACTGGACAGGTATGTCAAGGTCCGTTACTAAACGCAGTTTTTCGAGAATTTCAGGCACGGCTGAATGTATGTGTGTTTCAGTAACGAATTTGTAGAAGCTGCGGGTTTTGTAAGAAAGCAATAGTTCGTATTAATGACTGTAACATTAAAAAAAAAAAAAATTTTACGTAACATTAGACATGTCAAAAGAAAATTCAGCTGGGTTTACCAGACAAGATTGGGCTGTATCAGGAAGCACTTTACGAATGGCTGGCCTAGCTTTCCTCTTTATAACAGCCAATGAGGGTTTTTGAGGCAACTACTGTACAGATATTGAGGTTGCTTTGGCTGAACCGGTACTGGGCAGAAGATAGTATCGATACCATGCTCAGCACTTACCGCCAAGAGGAATACGATACAGGGCATGACTCCGATCCCTGTCTAAGTTGATGGACATGGGGTCGCAACAATGAAGGGCATGACTCCGTATCCCTGTCTAAGTTGATGGACATGGGGTCGCAGCCTTAAGCTGCAAGAAATTAAAATCCCACGAAGGGGACAAGAGGTTTGATCAGTAACACAGAACCGGCGTTATCGGTCGGCTTACACTTGGGGAGCTCATGAGTGACCTCCAACCGCACCAGGACAGCACAACGAGCGACTATTACCCAGTGACACAAGGTGCCACCATTCGGATGGTGAATATTTGTTGATCAGTCATGTTCTGTTGTTGATTTGTAATTCTCTTCTGCTGTCATATATTAAAAGGTGGTGAAAGCAGGCGTGACTGCAGTCAAGCTAATACCAAGAAATTCCAGTGAACTGTGACTAGAAAAGCACACACAAAAAAAAAAAAAATGGGTAAGCAGGAAAAACATGCACAAAACAACACAAATCGATTTTACGGCTGGGACCTTTCTTGACCTGAAATGAACAGCACAATGGTAACAACGAGGAGTGTAGACTGTCACTATAATCCATTATACATTAGGCACACAGGTGGGGCCCAGGCATTTTACCACCAATGCCCTTTCCCCCCTAGATATTCTTAATATGCATATAAACATAAAATGCATTATGGATAAAAATACGACTGCTGTGTGAAAGATGTGTGCCTGGAGGGGCCAAATGTATGACGAGCCTGCGTGCCCAGTTTGTGACCCTATGAAAGAAAAAGTGCGTTCGTTCGTTCGTTCTTTTGTTCGAGACACGAATAACAGAAGGTGTTAGTTTTGGCGTTAGTTAGCTGAGGTTCTGTGTTCTAGTCAAAGAAAAAGAAAATGCTGGTGAAGAAGAAAAAGCAGAAGAAGAAGAAGAAGAAGAAGAAGAAGAAGAAGAAGAAGAAGAAGAAGAAGAAGAAGAAGAAGAAAAAGAAGAAAAAGAAAGAAAGAAAGAAAGAAAGAAAGAAAGAAAGAAAAGAAAGAAAGAAAGAAGAAAGAAAGAAAAGAAAGAATAAAGAAAAAAAAGAAAGAAAGAAAAGAAAGAAAGAAAGAAAGAAAGAAAGAAATAAAGAAAGAAAGAAAGAAGAAAGAAAGAAAGAAAAAAAAAAGAAAGAAAGAAAGAAAGAAAGAAAGAAAAGAAAGAAAGAAAGAAAGAAAGAAAGAAAGAAAAGAAAAGAAAGATAGAAAAGAAAGAAAGAAAGAAAGAAAGAAAGAAAGAAAGAAAGAAAGAAAAAGAAAGAAAGATATAAAAGAAAGAAAGAAAGAAAAGAAAGAAAGAAAGAAAGAAAGAAAGAAAGAAAGAAAGAAAGAAAGAAAGAAAGAAAGAAAGAAAGAAAGAAAGAAAGAAAGAAAGAAAGAAAGAAAGAAAGAAAGAAAGAAAGAAAGAAAGAAAGAAAGAAAGAAAGAAAAGAAAGAAAGAAAGAAAGAAAGGAAAGAAAGAAAGAAAATATAGACAATAGATTACATAATTTATTGCCTGGTACATCTTGCTCTATATTGCCAGGTGCACATTTCAGACATCATGTTTGTGCCTGCTCTAAGTACTTGGCGAGATACAGAGAAA